GGGGAGAAGGGGGGATACAGGGCTGCCCGCCTTGATGGGGCTGCTTGTGGCAGGGGTGAGCTCCCTGGCAGCCAGAGGGAGGAAACCCCAGGGTCCCGGAACTGGGTCTGAGGCCTGTCCTGGAGGCCCAGGTCACACCCGAAAACAGTGTTCACAGTAAAGACAGAGTCACTGAGACAGGAACAATGTGAATTATAGGATATTTTAAATTAAAATCATTCGTTCTTTCGTTCGTTCGTTCGTTTGTTCGTAGACAGGGTCTGGCTGTGCAGCTCAGGCTGGCCTTGAACTCACTGTGTAGTCCAAGCCGACCACAAACTTGCAGTGATCCTCCTGCATCACCCTCCCGAGTGCTGGGGTTACAGGGCTGCACCGCCACACCCAGTTTTCAGATCATCTAACATGGTGTCCTCGTTCTTGTGGCTTCCACCTGAGTTCACTGGAAGCTTTCCCCGAGTGAGTGCAGCACTGTGGCTGGCTGGCCCCACCTTGCCACTGTGGAGTGACTGCTCACGCAGAGGGGAGATTTACATCGTTACCCAGCTCCTCTGGGCTTGTGGAGAAGGGTGGATGTCACACGGGACGCAGGTGGCAGCTGAGCTGCCTGAGGGGTCCGAGGGCAGTGGGTGTAGAGGGCGCTGTCACCCATCTGGAGGCTGGAGGCCCACGGTGACCCCACAGGCCGGGCGGTGCCTTCTGTGGCTGCAACGGGGCAGTTCTGGCCTCTCCCTGCGCCTGGCAGCCGCGGTGTCCTGGGCTTGCAGATGTGGCTTCTCCCTGTGTCTGTCACTTTGTCCAGACCCCCTGTAGTAAGGAGACGCCAGTTCTTCTGGGACAGGGAGGGCCCTGACAACCTCGTCCTCCTCCTCTTCCTTGGTCATCTACAAAGACACTGTTTCTAAGCAAGCATCTGGGGAGGTGCCCAGCCCAGCCCATGGCCACGCCCAGAGGAAAGCAGAATGACCAGTGTGTGTCTAAAGGACACCGGTCCTGCGCACATGCTGCCTCTCGGAATGTGACAAAGGGACAGAGGGAGGCTTCGGGACTGGCCATCTAGGAATCAGAGCCCTCGCACTCCACTCACTTGGTAACCTCCTGTGTACCCACACTGGGCCTCAGTTTACTCATCTGAAAGGTGGGCACACTCCTCGCGGTGCCTTCGCATGACTGGGCCATGGTGGAGGAGGAGTGCGAGCTGATGAATGGAACACCACAGGGACTGTGCCTGGCCGTCCTGTGACAGTGCGGCGTGCATGGGGCTCACTCCAGGGGAGGCCATTGAGGGTGAGTGGCAGGGCAGCAGTCTGATCGGCTGGAGTAGAGGGTCTGGGGCCGGGCATGGGGCCCTGGACTCTGGATGTTGGCGGGGAGGTGGCTTTCCTCTGCTGGCCGAGGGCCACAGCTGTGTGCTGGCCATTGGATTCACTAAGGCCCAGGACTCCACTCGTGTCCCCACTGATGGGTCTTGGGGACCCCAGAGCAGCCTTGGGGTCAGTGGGGCCTTTGGGGTGGCCTGAACACTCCCCAGCTCCCTGCTGCCTGTGACGCGTCTCTTGCCACCAGGTCCCCGGGGTGGCTGGCTGCCTCTGTGTGCCAGCTCAAGGACACAGGGCTTCTTTCACAGTGGCCAGGACTCCTGTCCAGAACCAGAACCAGCACCGAGCAGAGCGGGGCCCAAGCAGGACATCCTGGGGTCGCACTCATACACCTTACTGCTGGCCTGGAAGCCGTGGTCCTGCCTGCGGGGAGGAGTGGGTGACGAGCCAGCCCTGGTGTGGAGTTTGGGGGGACACTGAGACCAGGGAGGAGGCAGTGAGGTGGAGGTGATACCTGATAGGAGGTGACATCTCGCTGCTGTTCAGGCCCAGACTTGAAATGCTGCTTGAATTCTTTCTACAAACAGATCTGTCTTTCTGGTCATTCCCTCTGAAATGTCCAGTGCCCTTTCATTCCTGCGAGAGCTGCTAGTCTGTGACCTCAGCACACATAGGCTCTGTGAGTGCTGTCCCAACAGGAGCACGCGATGCCCTAGAGGGGCCTGGGTGTCCCCAGAATGTGCTGTAAGTCCCTGGGGTGGGGCCTGGGGGCGTGCGTCCCCCCTTCTTTAGTCCCCCTCTGGAGCAGGCCAGGAGGCCAGGAGGCCCCCGGAAGCTGGTGCTGCCTATTCCATGGAACCGGGACTGAGCCCACCCCTTCTTCAGCGGGAGCCGGTGGAGGAACCTCAGGCAGTACCGGAGGTGCATGCTTCGGCACTTTCACCACGTTTGAGCTGACAGCTCGGGCTACAGTCTCCGATGCAGCCTTTCGAGACCAACGGAGGCCGGTCCACTCTATTAGTGTTAGGGCAGGGGCGGCTCCGTGGTCAGTACTTGCCCCACACACCTCGGGCCCGGGCTCATCCCAGCACCACCAGTGGGTATGTGGGCGAGTCTCTGGGCCATCCTGCAGGCTTGCAGAGGACTCAACTGTGCCACCAGCCGGAGGGGAGGAGGGACTTGGGCTCTGGCAGGACCCTGCCCCACTGGGCCTGCTCCCCGCTCCCTGTGGTCCAGGTCCTGTGCTGCTGGGGACCTGTACACCCGCACTGTGAATGTGCTGTTGGCCTGGCACTGGGAGGGGCTTTCTGCTGCCACAGCAGGCTGTGTGGGGGCTGCAGCTGCCCCACATCCATATCCACCCCAGACTGAGGCCCAGTGGATGGCAGGCGGTGAGAGAGGTCTTCGCCCACACCCTTCCGCCGGCCCTGGGAATTGAGGTCCAGGTTACTGTGTGGGAGGGGCCAGGCTGGTCGGTTCCTCACAGCTTCACTGCCCAGGGGCTGGTTTACTTTTTCCCAAATGCTGTGGGCACGTTTCTTTTTTGTTTTTGGAGACAGGCTCCCTTTGTAGCCCAGGCTGGCCTTGAACTCCTGCTGATCCTCTTGCCTCAGTCTCCTGAGAGCTGGGATTGCAGGCGTGCACCACCATCCCCAGCACGCCAGGGACATGTTTTTCCTCCAAGCTCAGAGAGTGCTCCAGAACAGGTGGCCTCTGCCCCACAGGATGCTCTGTCCTGGATGAGGTGTATGGGACTCTCCTGTCCATCTCTTCAGTTTTTCTCCTAAGCCCTGGCAGCGGAAACACCCTGCAGGTGAGGTGGGCACCTTGGCACAGAGCCCCTTCTGGCCTGGTGGGCCGCAGTGTGCTTGTCCCTGTGCCACCTCAGGGTGCATGTGGTTTGGGTCCCCATCCCCACAGCACGTGACACCCTAGGAAGTTCTGGGGTTGAGTGTGATTCATGGAGGAGGCGACAGGGAAAAACTGGCTGTCTTTAAGCTCCAGGAAGCAGTGGGGTGAGCTGGAAATGTGAGTAATGAATAATTTTACTAAAATAATGCCACAGTCTCAGGACCTGTTCTGTAGCATTGGGCCCCTGTGAAGTGCATTTCTGCCTGTTGAGCCCAGGGCCTGGGCAGGGAGCGCAGGACACTGCATGTGAGCCTGTGGCCCTGGACACCCTCTGGGCATGGCTCTCCTCGGTGGTCATTTCAGACTCGGGTTGGGTGCTTGGGGAGTGGGCGTTTAGCCTGCAGCTTTTATGGCCTCTCCCCAGGCTTCCTGCCCCTGATAGTGTCAGGACTGTCTCACTGTAGCTGTCACGTGGTCAGAAGCCTGGATCCCACCCTGGGTTCACACTGCTCCTGCAGCCATGGACTCAACCGAGGGGGTGCTGGAAAGGGTGGGCTCCACACTGTGTCCGGGAAACAGTTTACATAGTCAAAAATTAAATTTCATTTGTCTCCAAATTACAAAAACTCTTAACTCCTCAAATATGACAGTGTGCCTGAAAACTGTATTTAGGCATCATACCTACCCAGGTAAAAGCCAGTGCATGTTCAGCCCCAGTGGCCTCCCTGGATGTGGGTGTCAGCCACACAAATATGTCTCAAGCTTGGAGTCACTGCAGAAAGGTGCAGTTCTGTGGACATGCTAGCGTCAGTGCTGAGGAGGAGGGAGGGTGGTTTTTCTTACCTTAATTCTTTGAGAATTGCTGGGATGTGCTGTCTAAACTGGCCAGATAGAAGTCCTGCCCTGTGGTTGTCCTCACAGGGTGGAGATTTATTTCCTGGTCGGTCTGAAGTCATTTTATTTGGTCTGCCAGAGAGCAGAACCATAAAGCCGTGTCTTGTGCCCCACGTCACCCTGAGTGAAAACTGAGTGTGAGGCTGCCAGGTGCTCCTCCATTCCGGCCCTGTGGCTGTGTTGGTCCCTGACTATGACCCCTGGGAGGTGGTGCCTTGTGGCTCAGGACCCTCTGTGGCACCACGAGGCTGCCCGAGGGCTCCACAGGTGCTCCCAGGCCAGGGCTGGCTGATGGGACCCACGCCTGCCTGCCTACCCCTGTCCCTGCCTTGGGGTCACCATGTGCTTTGCACACAGGCATGGAGAGGACTATGCTTCTCTGAGAAGTTTCCATCTTTTTTTTTTTTTTTTTTTGGTACCTGGGATCAAACTTGGGACCTTGCATTTGTGAGGCAGGCTCCAGAACCACTGAGTTAAATCCCTGGCCCAGAAGTTTCCATTTCTTAAAGAAAAGCTCAGAGCTCTTCATCTGCCACAGTTTTATTTGAAAGTGTTGCTCACTGGCCATGGAAAGATGGCTCTGGTGCCAGAGGACTTGGTACACTGAAGGGGGACCCGAGGCAGAAAGGATGGTGGTATTCACAGGGTCCATGTGACGGGCAGTGTCCACAAGGTCCCCTCCGACACCGCTCTCTCCTCTGCTCATGCCTCCCTGGGCAGGGGGCTGTGGGTGGCCTCGGGACACACGGGAAGTGGAAGATGGGGTCGGTGCCCACAGTGGCAGAGTTGATGATGCTCTGGGCATGTGGAGGTGGTGCCTTCCTCCTGGAGCAGGCTCCAGCTATGTCCCAGGGGCCTCAGGAGTCACAGCAGCACCTGGCCCTGCTTGGCGTCCCTTCGCCAGGTGTCCCCACCTGAGGGCTCGCTGCTCTCTTCCAGGAACAAGACTACCAATGGAGACTGCCGGAAGGACCCCCGAGAGCGCAGCCGCAGCCCCATCGAGCGCGCTGTGGCCCCCACCATGGGCCTGCACGGCAGCCACCTGTACGCGTCCCTGCCCAGCCTCGGTGTGGAGCAGCCCCTCGCCCTGACCAAGAGCAGCGGGGATGCCGGCAGGGCGGCTGGCCTCTCCCCCACACTCACGCCAGTGGAGCGGCAGCAGGTACGCGGGCCTGCGCTGGGCGGGGAGGGGCCTGGCGGAGCTGGGCCAGCCACTACAGGGTCCCACAGGGCGAGTCTGCAGGGGGCTTTGCTTTGGGCTGGAATCCTCCTGGGACTGGCACATATTAAGGAAGTCAGGAAAATTATTACAGTAAACAGTTGTTTGGTGGAAAAATCTCTTCTGAAAAGTTGGGCTTGTAGAGGACCCCACAGTACAGGAGGGCATGGTGGCCCTGGCGAGAAGCCAGTGTGGCCATGGAGTCCTTTGCTGCTATCAGTCACCGGGAAGTGTGGACGGTGATGTGGGCTGCCAGGCTCAGGGATTCCTGTCGGGTTTGGGACAGATCTCGTGGCCAGCGCAGGTTTTGTGGGGTGGACAGAGGCACAGGCTGCTGTGACTTAGGGGCCACTGCCCTGCACTTGGACCTAGTGAATGACCTGGGCACTGCACAGCACCCGTGGGACCTGCTCCCCACTTCTGAGCTCACAGCCAGGTGCTCTGGTGGGGACACAGGGATGACCCCCGAGTTGAGCGTGAGGGAGAAAAGGTGCCAGGATGGCAAGGTGGGGCCTTGGAGGCCGCAGCACAGGGAGGCCTTACCCTCGGGACCAGGGTCCTCCCACTGGTGCTGTCACAGCTGGGTGTGGCTCCAGGCACATGTCACAGGCTGCTGTGGTAGGGCTGAGCGGACCCAGGAGAGTGGGCGGCTGTGTGGCATCCACGGGTGGTGTCTGTCCTGGAACAGGCTTGGGGTGCTGGGCACCTGGGTGTGAGTGGAGCCAGGTCCCTGGCTGCACTGTCACATGTGGGTACAGCCGGGGCAGAGGGCCCAGCACGTGACAGCGGAGGGCCAGTGACCATCCAGGGCAAGTCCCTGCGGCTCAGGCCAGGAGGGGCCCAAACCTGAACCTTGGGCGGCCGTGTCCCTCTGGATGGTGCTGACCCTGAGGCTGGGCATCCCCTGAGCTCCTGGGAAGCCCTCTTCGGTGAGGTCACCAGTCCGACCTCTGCTGGTCAGGACACCGGTAGGGAGTAGCAGACGCCAGCTCAAGCTGCCCCTGAGGCGGCTGCAGAGGACAGAGCCATTTGTGGGACATCGAGTGGAGGTGACGGTGATGGCTGCCAGATGAGTGAGGGGCTACAGTGTCTAATCTTGGTTGTGACAGGAAGGAACTAACTTGGGCCAGCCCTGGCGCAGGCAGAAACCTGCAGCCTACTGGAAGGGGCCCAAGAAGGTCCTGGAGGACTGTGGGATCCAAGACCCCTGGGGTCCTCAGTAGCAGGAGCTGGGGTCCTTCCTGCTACTCTCTGCCACTCGTGTGACTCGATCCTTGTTGTCTGGCACTTGTCCCAGCCCTCCACAGTGGGCCTTCGCCCTGCCTCTCCTTGACCCCAGCTGCCATGCCATGACCAGGGGTCAGGCTTCAGAGAGGACAACTCAGGGGAGGGGTGGCGCGCGCGGCTGCATGGGTATCAAAGCACTGGCCTCCTCCTGCAGAACCGGCCCTCGGTGATCACCTGTGCCTCAGCTGGAGCCCGAAACTGCAACCTTTCGCACTGCCCCATCGCGCACAGTGGCTGCGCTGCGCCTGGGCCCGCCAGCTACCGGAGGCCACCCAGCGGTGAGTGTCCTGCTGCCCCGTCCCTTGCCGGCAACAGGTGGGGATGGACCCACGGGGTCTGCTGTTCCTCAGTGCCCTCGGCCCAGGGCAGTGGGTACCCTCCCTTCCAGACTCAGACGTGACCTGCCCCCATGTCCCCTGCCCCTGCAGCTGCCCCCGCCTGCGACCCTGTGGTGGAGGAGCACTTCCGCAGGAGCCTGGGCAAGAACTACAAGGAGCCGGAGCCGGCACCCAACTCTGTGTCCATCACTGGCTCCGTGGATGACCACTTCGCCAAAGCCCTGGGCGACACGTGGCTGCAGCTCAAGGCGGCCAAGGACGGCACCTCCAGCAGCCCCGAGTCAGCCTCGCGCCGTGGCCAGCCGGCCAGCCCCTCTGCCCACATAGTGAGCCACGGCCACTCCCCGTCGGTGGTCTCCTGAGGGTGCCCAGTGCCTCGCCCGTCTGCATGGTTTGCCCAAGCTTTGAACAGTCAGTGCTTAAAAAAAAAATTGTGGGGTGGGGCGGGGGGAGGGAAGGGGTGGTCTAGCCGCAAACCCGTGCGGCGGGGTTCTGTGCTCTTCTGTCTCATACTTGCTTGGTGTCCGCGCAAGGGGCCCTCTGTGTGCCAGGAGGCGGCGTGCAGGTCGGCGGGCGCTCTGTGGCACCCGTTTCCTGCCTTGGTTACCAAAGAAACCTCTGGCACAGTGTGCGGCCGGCCAGGACTCCAGCGTCCTCAGCCACAAGCCATGAAGACTTCGGGGGGCCCGGCGCTCTGTGCTCTTCTTGTGTGCTTCCCAAGGCCCGGGACTGTGTGCGTGTGTGTGTGCGTGTGTATACTTGAAGAGAAGCGTGGTGTCTGATTTGCACTATTGGAGGACGGAGGCTGCCCGCAGCTGCTGCAGGACGCTGGCATGGAGGGCAAAGTGCTGGGACTGCAGGGCGGCTGCTCCTGACCCTCTGTGGCGGGGTGCGGTGAAGTTAGAGGAGCTTGGGGGTGCCGCACAGGCTGCAGTCTTCTCTAGAGTCGGGGCTGCACCTGATCACAGGCGCCACCGCATGGGCATTCACCCTCTGGGATCACTGCAGCTGTCGGGCAGACTGAGGTCAAGGACTCCGTAGTGCTTTAAAGAGGACACATGTTTTAATGGAGAAAAAAATAGCTGGTTTCTATTAATTGTACAGACAGTAAGCAAACCTGAGTACTTATGGCTTCTTTTCAGAACTAGTTTATTTTGTCAGTCCCAGTCCTAGATCTACTTACTGCTGGTACAGTTGTACTCCGAGATCTGTATTTGATACTCTACTCACAAGGAGCGTGGGTGGCCGCAGCTGGCAGGCGGTGGGCAGTGGCCAGCGCCACCGCCTCTGCGCATCCCCGCTGCCTGGTGACGCACCCCAGGGAGCTGGATGGTGTCTCCCAGCTCCCTGGGCGCAGCCTGCTCCCTTGGCTGACGGCAGATTGCTGACAATCTGCGCCATGGCGTTGTGTGTGCTTCTTGGTGCGTGGGGCCAAGGCCGTGTACATTCCTGACTTCAGTTACGACTGCATTTATCGTCTGCCATAGCCACAGCTACTAACTAGACATTAGCAGCACCCAAGACAGGCAGGGCTGGGGGTGCCTCACAGCTGCTGCTCCTCGTGGTCAATGAGCGTTTCTGTCCTTGCCTCCAGGGTCTGCAGCCAGCCTGGCCCCCTAGGGGGCTTGGGATGTCACCTGCTCAGGTGACACAGGGGTGGCCAGCCCAACTGTGAGGCGTTAGAGGCTTCTCCCACAGATGCACAGTGCCAGGCCCACTGTTGCATCTGGGGTGTGGGTGCAGGGGTGCCTGGCTCTGGTCATGCTGGTCAGGCTGCCGGCCCTCACGGAGTGAAAGGAAGCCCCTCTCCAGCCTCCCAGTCACTCCCACTGTACTGGGCTTCCAAGCTTTGGCATTCAGGCCCCTATATTTTCTGTAGGAAAAAAATCATTGAGAACACTTTTTTTATATAGGTAACTTTAAGACCATCATTACGCTGTGCGTAAAGAATGTACAGAGAAATTTGTAGGTATTTTTTGAAGAACAATTAATTTGTTAATGATATGTAGCTATTTAATTTTTCCCTTTCCTATCGTAATCATTCATTTTTTGTTGTTTGGAAAAAAAGTTGATCTTTTTTGGGTCGTGGATGTGTCCGTAAACGTGCAGGAACACAGGTACTCTGAGACCGCCATCCGCATTCAGAGCCACACGTTTGTTACTGCTACAGGCTACTGAGCGCGGGCTGGAGCTGGAGCCGCCGCCGCGGACCCTCCCTCGGCCGGTGAGCGGGGCGCCTCGCGGGGACGGAGGTGCTGGTGGCCGGGTCCCCGCGCCGACCTATCTGGGATAGGCTGTCCCCCAGAGCCGGGCCGTCCGCGGCGCGTTCTGACTCCTCTGCTATGTGTAAATCTGTAAGATACCATTCTCTGTGGCCTGTTTTTCCTGGAAGAAGAAGAAAAAAAGGTTTGGCAGGCCATCTTTTTTTGTACTTAAAAGTAGCCTTAAGAACAATAATAAAGTGCTCTTAAACCACTGGCTGGCTGTGTGTGGCCCTGAGGCGCCCGAGTGAGCAGGAAGAGGCGAGTTCAGTCCCCACCGTGACTGTGAGATGTGTGGAAGGGATGCCTCCCCCGAGGACAAGGTCATCTCTGTCCCACATGCAGCCTGGCCGGCAGAGGGGTGCACACGGGTGAGGAGAGGAACCCAAGGACGCGGTGCTGGCCCCCGTGTGGGCACCCTGGGGCTTGACCCCTGTGACAACAGAAAAACAACTGCACGTGGAGGGGCTGTGCCCAGAGGGCAGTGCACCAAAGCCAAGGTTATTATTGAACTCAGGGTGGGTAGGGTTGGCACAGCAGGATGATGTGGGGAGGGGACACCCGGGCATCACCCGTCCGGGGCAGCATCCTGCCCCTGTGCTCCTCAGCGGTGGTCTCAGAGGGTCTCATCATCGCTCATGTCCCAGATCTGCGGAGAGAAAGGGAGATCCTCAGCCCAGCTGCCGGCTGGGCCCAGGGTCGCGCTGCAGAACTGTAGCCTGCGTGACAGCAGGAGCAAGAGGCTTGCCTGCAGGACAGGGCACTGTGCACCCCACACCTGGCGCTGCAGCAGCTCTAGGCCTGAGGCAGGGGTGTGGGCTCTGCCTGCTCTGAACTGCAGGCAGAGACCCAGGAGCTGGCCATGGCTCACGGCACCCCTGCCAGTGTCACTGGGGAGGCAGCCTGAGGGTGCAAGGGGTGTCTTGGTGGGGGACAGCTCCTTCCGGAGACCCTGCACCAAGACCCCCACCCCCAGGTGTCACAGCAGCACAGCAGGTCCAGGCCCTGCTCCCAGGGCTCCCCATGGGCCTTGGCCAAATACTTCCCTGATTTCCAGAACTGGCTGCCGAAGGCTGCCCCAGCCCTGCTGAGAGGAGTGCAGAAACAGCGTGTTCACGTGGGGAGGATGGCCTAAGGTCAACACACAGCCTGGTTTTCCAAGTGATGGTGTGCCAGGTAAACAAAACGCAGAGAAGAAAATTTCCTCCGTCCCCGGGCAGCAGGTGACTAGCATCCTGTCACAGTTCCTGGACTGGAGGCACAGGCAGCGCCTGCACAGCTCAGCCAGGTGTGGGGTGGGGACCCAGTGCCCCAGCCCGGATCACCACATAGCCCCACATGCTTCTGGGCAGGGCCCAGCATTTAGAGCCCCAGACCGATCCGCTCTGGGGGTCTAAGGGGAACAGAAGCACTGGAGCCATGATGGTGAACCTTTTAGAGCTTTCAGTGATACAACCTGCTGCAGCATGAGTGCCACAGGTTTGCCACCACTGTACCAGAGCATGGTCACACAGTTCTGCCACACTCTCAATCTTGTTCAGGGGACACATTTCTGCAGCTCTCCCTGGGCCCCACATGCTGTGTGGCCCTAACGCAGATGCTTCTTTGTGCCTCACTTGCCTGTGAGGAACAGAGGCAGACAAGTTCAGAGAGGCCAGGTGGCTTCCTGGAGCCACACAGCAAGCAAGCTACAGAGCCAGGAGTGCGGGTGTGTGGAGAGGGAAGGGGCGGTAGAGGGAGGCACCAGGCCAAAAGGACCAGGGTGTGAGCCATGGGGCCTTCGCTCTCTAAGGCCTCCTGTGCCACTCAGAAGCACCCTCTGGGTGGAGAGGGTCATGCACAGGACTTTAGGGGCATCCGGAGACCCTGTCCATTGCATCATCTGGTCGACGAGATCTCCGCCACAGAGAAGCGGGGTTCTGCCCTGCAGAGCCGTGAGGGGACCTGGCTGGCCCATGGACAGCGGCACACTCCCAGGGCACCTGCTAGGCGGGGCTGCCAGCACTGGCCAGGCTTTGGAGAGGACTCCGGGGTGCCTGGAGCACTGACTGGCACACTCTGTGGGGAGGGAGGGACTTTCCAGACCCAGATGCCTGGACAGGGCTGCGGGCTGCTCTGGCAGCCTGGCCTCCCCACTTGTGGGCACTGGTGGTGGCAGTGCAGCAGCAGGCTGCCTTTAAAGCAGAAGCCCAGGCCTCGTCCTCTGGAACCGGAGCTGTGCTGCCCTCTTACTGAGCAATGCTAACGGTCAGGGCTGGCGTGGCAAGGAGAAGCAAGGTGCGGGGTGCAGATGGGAGCCCTAGGTCTTCAGAGAAGACATTTGCTAACACCCCCCTTCAAGGAAGAAATGATCTCAGTTACAGACAATACAGAGCACACCGGAAACCCCATGAAAATGAATGCTGAGATGAATACAGAAAAAGAACACTTGTTTCTATAAGATAGCAAGATATAAAATTAACAAGTTCCAGCCCTCTGTGTACAAACACCACCAGTAACAGCAGAGGGAGATGAGCCTTTGACAAGAGCAGAGAAAAAGAGAAACTGCCAGAGAAAGCCTAACGACAATGTTCAGAATTTACATGAAAAAAACCTTCATTAAAAAAAAAAGCCCTCATAAAAATCTCAAACTGCTGGGCATGGTGGCGCATGTCTGTAATCCTAGCACTCGGGAGGCTGAGGCAGGGGAATCACCTTGAGTTCAAGGCCAGCCTGGGCTACATAAGTGAGACCCTGTCTCAAAAACAACAACAACAAAACCTCAAATTTAGGAAAGACAGTGAATTGGGACAAATGATTAACTCCCCTTATTTTGTTAGCAGATTATTCAACATCAGTAAACCCCAGCTTTTGAAAATTGATAAGCATCTTTTCTGGCTCTGAAGTTTCTGTGGAAGTTCCCCTGGCCTACCCTTCAGATATCCCTAGCTCAGCACAGGGGCTTCCTAATTCGGGGTGGTGCTGCCATGGCAACAGGTGGCTGCCTGGGGGAAGAGGGAGCCCAGGGTGGGAGGGCAGAGTCCATGCATGTCGTGGGGGAGATCTAGAATTTAACAATGAAGGGTTAGGGACTGAGATCCCTGTCACTCAAGACAGGTTTTCTAGTGTGTGATACAGGACAATTGGAAAGTCACTTGACACAAGATAACATCGATTCTGTGCTTTATATTGTGCACTAGAATCAACTCCAAACAGAACAGTCTCAGTGTTAGAAAATGTTAAGCAATGGTCGTGTGCCTTTGACCTGGGGGACGGGAAAAGCCTATAGCCCCAAATCTATAAGCAATAAAACTGGATGTACCGGGCTCTGCAAAAACTCATGCATGTAATTTTATGTGGAAAAACTAGGAAAAGCACAAAAAGACGTGAGAGATTGCAGCATGCAGGGCCCCTACACGGCTGCTGCTCTCCCTAACAGAGAAGTAATGACAATAAAGCAACCAAGAATGCTGGCCAAGCGTGTGGGCAGTGCACAGAAATCCATGGGCAGGTGCCCTTCATAAGAGACTTAGGACAGAAAAAGAAAAACATCTGATTGACATCCTACAACCTAAGTGCCTGGCTTGTGAAAGACAACTGTGAAAGGGAAAAGGAAATTACAAACCAGGAAATATCTTAACTAGATACAAGAAACAAGCAGAGAAATGCAAATCAAAGCTACATGAATTCCATCTCACCCTAGCCAGAATGGTGAGCAAAAACACAAAAAACAGTAAGTGCTGGTGAGGATGCACGGGAAAAGGACTCTCTACCCTGCTGGTGGGAAGTCAGTGTGGAGCTTCTTCAAAAAGCTCAAACTAGAGCTGCCCTGTGGCCCAGCCAGTCGCCTCCTCAGTGTATTCCCGGGGCAGGCAGAGCCAGTGCAGTGTACATAGGGACACCTGCACACCCACGTTTACGGTGGCACAGTTCACAACCGCCAAATTACAGAATCAGCCTGCGTGGCCTGCAACAGACTGATAAGGACAGCGTGTATACACAAGGCAGTTCGCTAAGGGACAGGGAAGAACAGAATTCTGCCTTTTGCAGAAAAATGGATGAAACTGGTGATCATCATTTTGAGCCAAAGACCCAGACTAACAAGTATCACATGGTTTCCCTCTTGTGTGGAATGTAAAAGATGACAAGAAAATAAGACTATTACTAGATCCGGGGAAGGCACCGGGGAGGAGGGAGTGAAGGGTGGGTGATGAAGGAGATGACTGTGATGGAAATGCAAGCAAGGAACCCCCGGGAATGTGAAGTTTGGGGAGGAAGGCGGGCAAAGGTGATGAGGGGATGATTCAAGTGTCACGTGCGTTTACAAATCTGCCAAAGCAAAACCCATTAATCTGTGTAACCAATATGCACTAAATGTGGGAGAAAAAAGCAAACTGATTTCTGAAAAATGGGTGAAGAATTAAACATAGGCTTCACAGAGGAGGAAATACAAAGGCCTGTAAGAACCAGAAACAGTCCTTAGGGCAGTGCAAAGCAAAGCCACACAGCACCCTTTACGAGGAGCACGGTACAGAGAAGGGAGTGGCAGGACCAGGACTGCAGAAGACATAAAGCTAAATGTGATCTGCGAACCAGCCACACCACTCCTGTCCACCTGTGTCCCAGAGAGGCGGGTGCAAGAATGCTCCCGGGCTTTGTTCCCAGCAGGCACAAACTCCAGTGGCAGGAAACAGGAAGTCAGCGGGAACAGCCACACAATGGGCTCACAGCTGGATCCCTCCCAGGCCCTTGGTACAGGCTCGGTTCCCAGGGTGGCACTCCTGGGAGGTGGTGGGACCAAGGAGCAAAGCCCAGTGGGGGTCTTGCACTCTGTGGGGGTGTGGCCTTGCTGGGACCTGGGGCCCCTACTCTTCCCCTTCCTCTTCCTCTTCCTGCCTCCCCGCCCTGATGTGAGTGCTGGGTTCCGCTCCCCACACATGCTCCAGTGACGCTGCCTCCCCATGGGCCAAGAGCAACAGAGCCAACCCCCAGGGCCGCAGGCAACAACCCTTCTCTACACGCATGGTCATCTCAGGTTTGTGGCATGACTAACACCAAGGGACATGACCCAGCCACAAAGGGACACGTGAGTGATGTGCTGGCTAAGCAAACTTTTAATACAGAATCAAGTATTGTCATACCATGCTTAGAAAGTCAGAAAGGAATATGACCAAAACACAAGCCACAGAATGAGGGTAGAGTGGGCTTCATCAAAACTAAAAACTCATGTGCTTCC